GTGGGTACTCTATCAATTAATATCACTGTGTTAATGACTGGTGAGGGATTTAGCATTAAAAAGCCCGGTTTGCTGATGACTATGGTATGTGATTTGAGTTTGTGCTGGAACTTTTTTGGTCGATAGGCTGCGATGGGAACAATGGATGGTATAATCGACACGGTTTCGGCAGTGCACCCAATGTTGCCTTTGATTGGTTTGCTCAAACACAATGGAAAACTTGTCCTCATCGGCGAGCCTGATCGGCCTCTCGAGTTACCCGTCTTTCCCTTGATCATGGGTAAGAATTTCCTTTGCCACAAATATAATGTTAAATCAACTAATATAACCTAGACATTTTGCTAAAAGTGTCAAATGTCTTGTTTAGCTAAACACAAACTGATAAATTATACTGCTCGATTGTGGTTTTAGGGAGGAAGATTGTGGCTGGGAGTTGCATCGGTGGAATGAAGGAAACACAAGAGATGATTGATTTTGCAGCAAAGCACAAGATTACCGCTGATATCGAGGTCATCTCGATCGACTATTTGAACACAGCAATGGACCGCCTTGCCAAGGGCGATGTCAAGTACCGGTTTGTGATAGATATCGGCAACACCTTAAAACAAGCGTGAGGTTCCCGAAGACTCTGATTAGATTACCAATACTTAGGAAGGTTATAATTTGACAGGTGCATTGAACATGCATTATGATCGGTATGTGTGTAATTCTCTGCAGTAAGAGTTCATTAGTTAGTGAGAACGCTGCTGTTTTGAACTTTTGAGTGTGTGCAAGATACACAGTTTGTTCTACAATCTGCTTTCTTACGCATTTCCAAGTTCCTAATACACCTTTTTAATTACCTGAGATATTCAATTTAGGTTATCCCTTCAGTTTTGGTTGAATCCTGCGGCATAAATCTCCTGTTTTGATCTAATGACTGCTTTTTCCTCGAATCGTGTGGTATTAGGTCCAACAGTAGCAACCAGAAAAGAAGTCGATTGGTTGAATTGAAACTAGGCTTTGCACACTTCCCATGCAATTAAAACAATAAACACGATCCTACGTAAATATGGACATTGTGTAAAGAAGACTGAATGTAGAAGAGAAGCTTGGATCCAGATTTACAAACGTCCATGGTGTTTCCTGCATCCCATTTCAGCTCTAACTGCTCTTCAAAAGCTAAAATCCGTTAGTCAAATGAGTATTGCATAATCTGCCTCCCTCCAAAATTTGTTTTTTGGGCTTTTTGGGTTAATGACACCGCAAGCATTTTTTATGTTTGTCTCTTTCTTAATTAAGTATCTAAACTGTTTTCTATTCAAATGAGTACTTGGACTCTACAACTTCAACTCAATGTGAGATCTGCGTGAGCGTTGTTGGGGTGTGATTCATACTCAGGAAGGCAGGGGATCCATGAATAGTTGTTGCTTATATATGATCTCTTTCTATTGCAATTGAGAGTTGTAACAGAGAAGTAGGGATGCTAATCATAGCAGAATCTCTCCTGGATAGATAAATCAGGATAAATTTTATGTCTCGATTTCTCTTTTTCGTATTTACTCTTTATTCGTTGGGTTTGTGCGCCTAATCCTAATAAGTTTGACATCACCTAATTTTGCTCAGGTGAAGTGTCTAATCAGGTAAAAATGATCCAGTTGACAACTACATAATCTATTTTTTCCCACCTCAATACAAAACCTTTTTCCCTCTTCTTTTTTTTTTTTTCCTTTTTTCTTCTCTTCTTCCCATGCATCTTGCAACTCTCTTGCATGTTCTTCTTTCTTGGTCCGCCATCCCCTAGATATGTCAACCACTGCCGTCACTTGACTTAACGATTGCTCCACTAACTGATGTATCCTTTAGCTCCGCCCATCGTTGCGTCCTCATCGTCGCCATCCTCGAGGTCGACCTCCCCAAAACAACAGTTTGAGTCTTTGGATGCTTCATATATATTTCTTCTTTAAGTCTCTATGTAGAAAAGTTGTCTTTACATTAAGTTGTTTGATTTCTAAATCTAAACTAGTTGCCAACTCAGGATTAACTCAAATAGAAGGTATTTTACAACTGGAAAACATCTCTTCAAAATCAATTTCTTTCTTTTGACGAAAGCCCTTCACAACAAACCTAATATTATATAGTGGTTGCAAACTACTTTCTTCCGTCTTTAACTTTAATACCTATTTATTTTTTAGTATTCTCTTGTTCTTAGGCAACTTCACCAATTCAAATGTGCGGTTTTCATGCAAGGATTTAAGCTGCTCTTGCATGGCTTTATGTCACTTATTCTTTTGATTACATGACATAGCATTTTCAAATGTTTTTGGCTCTCCAGCATTGATGAGTAACACATATTCATGCGGCTAATATCTCTATGAAGGTCTACGTTTTCTTGCATATCTTCTAACTTGAGTTTGGACCGGTTGTTCTTGCTCAATTGGCTCGTTTGTTCAACCGAATGCTCTTTCTCAACTGATTGTTCTAGCTCAATTATTTCACCTGTCTCAACTAAAGAATCAACATTTGATAAGGATTCAACATCTTCATGATTTTCATGCACTTCTCCCTCGTGTTTTCCACCATTTACGATAGGAGATTTTGGAGTGAAAGTAATAGAGTGCTAAGCTACGTTCTTTGATCATCCTAGCTAGTTGATGTCTTCAGTGGTTTGATGCTCAAAGAAGACAACATCTCGGCTTCCAATAATTTTCTTCGTAGCTAGATCCCATAACTTGTAGCTAAACTCTTCATGTCCATAACCTAAGAAGATACATTGCTTAGACTTGTCATCAAGTTTTGACCTTTCATCTCTTGGAACGTGCACGAATGTCTGGCAATCGAACACTTTCAGATAATTGTATAAAACATCTTTCCCACTTCAAACTCTTTGCGGAACATCCCCCTTAAGAGGAACTAATGGCAAAAGTTTATCAAATTCACTATTGCTCTCCTCACTTCACCTCGGAATTACTTATGCAATCTCGCATGAGAGAGCATATACCAAATCTAATCATTAATTGTCTAGCTCATTCTCTCCACTACCCCATTCTGTTGTGGTGTTTTCGAAACAGTTTTCTCAAGTTTGATACCATAATCTCTGCAATATTGTTTAAATTGGCCTCTATATTTATCGCTGTTGTCAGCTCGAACACATTTAAACTTCTTCCCGTTTATCTTTTCAAGTTGACATGAAATTGTCTGAAAGCTGCAAACACCTGGTCGTTGGATTTCAAATCAACAGCCCACTCTTTTCTAGAATAAGTGTCACAAAATATAATACACCACCATGTGTTCTTGCATCCATGCAACAAATATCCGCGTGACCTAAATCAAGTAAATCTAATTTTGTGCGTGAAGAGTAATTATGAAATAAGAATCTATATTGCTTACCTATTAGCTAGTGAGTACATTTCTTCAGATTTATGTCCTTCGATGGTAGAAGATTTTCTCTAGCAAGAGTTTCGAACCCCTTCTCACTGAGATGACCAAGTCTCATATGTCATAGGTCAATTGTGGAGTCCACCACTACATTTAATTCTTCCTTGATCAACTTAGCTTGCATGGTGTAGAAAGTGTAGGCCTTTTTGCCCTTAATCACTACTATGGAACCTTGAGTTGGTTTCCATTTGCCATCATAGAAGGAATTGTAGTTACCATCATCATTTAAGGAGCTGGGGAGATCAAGTGAAGTCAAATGTCCAGAACATGTCTCACATTTTTCAGAATCAAGTTACATCCAAGGTCGATCTCCAAATAAACATCTCACATGCAGATAACCTTGGAAACACCATTGTTTCCTATCATAACACAACCAAAATCACCGCTGCGATAGTGAAGTAATCACGCAGTGAGGCGACATGAAATGAAGCTACAAAATCAACAACCCAGTTAAAGTCTTAACACGTAAGGTTCATAGAAGCATCACCACAAATGAACACAATATTGTCATCGGATGCAATTGTTGTTGTAACTTGTTTCTCTTCTTTCTTTCTATCTCCATTTCCATCATGTGATTTATCTCTTTTTGGAAACTTGCATTCTCTAGCATAATATCTCATCTTGCCACAATTGTAACACTCCACACTCCTTGACCTTGATTTCGACCTTCCACTTGGCTTGCCTCTATTTTCATTACTCTGAAAATTCTTGATTGATTTCTCACCCTATTTTCTATAACAGGAGCCTCCAATTTAAAAGCATAATTAATGCATTTTCTCATGGTTTCTTCTTTGAATAGGTTTTTCTTTAACCATGCTCATAGAAAGCACACCATAAGGAATAGAATTGTTCAATGCAACAACCAAGGTATAACAACTGTCGAGGAGAGTATCAAGCAATTGACATGATTGCAACAGATCACCAAGGTCAATCTCAAAATTTATCAATTGATTTACCAAATCTTGAAAATTTACTCAAGTGTTCTAACATGCTATTTCTCTCCTTGTAGCTCAAATCACAAGTCTTTTAACTAAAAAAGCTTATTTTGTGGGGTTCTCCTCTCATAGAGATTTTGTAATTTCTTTCACAAAGTATCGGCTTTCGTTTCTTAAGCAACACGATGGAAAACAATTATCAATCCATTATCGAATAAACCCAACCGTTTTCCGATTCAATTGCCCATTCTTTGTCTTCCTTGTTTTCTTTAGCCTCGTCACCATTGACGGCATTATACAAATCTTTATAGTATAATATGTCTTCCATCCAAGGCATTCTAATAGAGCAATTCAAGGCATTTAATTTAAACATTGTGCTGCTTTCCTCCATTCATTTCAGCTACTCATGTTGACTCTAATACCACTTTGCTGGGGAGAACTCAGCAACAATTCACCATCAACTAACCATATAAAGGATTGATTTCCTCCCAAAACTAAGCCGATCAAAATCAACTTAACCCCAGCAACAACCAATAGTATATTCCATCAATACAATCTCAAAATAAGTAAATATAGGGCTAAAATGTTAAAGAGACAAGGCAACGATAACTCCAAGATTTTTATGTGAAAAACCCAATGCGAGACAAATTGAGAAAAGTCATAGACCCCTCAAAAACTTCAACTAATCACCAAGAATAGTATAATACATACAAGTTCTTCTCTAGTCACACAATAGAGACTCCGCATCAACAATACAATAGTATTTCATCACCACGAAGGTAGATTAACAAAAATGGATCAAGAGACCCCAACCGCAATCGGAGAAAAATGAGAGACAATTTGAAGAAGGTTTTCAATGAACGAAATCAATCAACTTGTAGGTCTCGGTCTCACGAACAATATACTAAAATTTGAGCTAATTCCAGCAATGTTTAGTTGTCGAATCTTCGCCAGAAGTAATAGTCTTCTTTCCCTTCTTCTTGGTGAACACGACCCCTACCATCAAAGCTTGAAACTTGATCTCGATGCATAAAAAGTTTATTATTGATTCAATTAATTATGTGAAAATGTCAGAAAAAAAGAACAGTGTATGATGGATGCCTATGAAATGGATTTCAAGGAATCAAATTAAATTCCAGATTCAAACCAATAAAACCCAATCGAAGATTTGCCCTACATTCCCTTCAAAAGGGATATCATGAAAACCAATAACTGTCTGTCTAGATTGCATGTGAAGTTGCTTTTCTCCTTGTGTCTTGAGTTCAAGTTTTGTTGGAACACTTTAAAGTAAAATCCTGATGCACCATGCTGATATGGAGGAGTGCGCTTTTAAGATTACTCAGGAGAGTAGATGAGTCGAGATGCGTAAAGGGCTAGTTCGATACAACACTTAACTGGGATAAATGTTCAAAAAGTCATTAAACCTAATGTACGGCAGCACTTTTCTTAGGTTGGGTGCTTGCTTACACTTCAGCGACAAATCACATCAAATCTGGAAATCTACATGTGGATGAGGATAAGTACTCATTTTTCGACCAAACAAATTTGAGTACAGAGATCCTAATAGTTAAATGGCGATTTTTTGTTTTTTTGGATCTTAACGGAGGACATTGAAGTATAGAAAATTCTAATATTTTCATGTAAATTTTTTTGGGACGTTTCAAACCTGGAACCAATTTTGTCTTACGGGTGAAGTCGTATGATTTGGTAATTCAGCAAATCGATGATATAGCTTAATCGATAGCGTTGACTCATTAAGATAAACGACATTTCATTAGAAATTACAAATATTTAGGTTCATAGCAAAGTTTAAGGATTTCTAACGTTGTTCAATAATTGCAATTTCAAGGTCTAGTTAACAATTGTGTCGCCAAAAGGGCTTTCTCGGGTCACCTTTTCGCCTTCTCAGAAATCTATTTTTACTTCGGCTATAACCAACTAGACCAAGCTTTCACACGACCTGGATGATCCCCACTTGCCTTGTAATATCTTGAATTTTTCATTTCTAATTGAGCTTGATAATTCTAAACAAATTTGTGGCGATTCTAATTTGTATATACCATGATTGATCATATTTCTTTTTCTTGAATTGCTCGGCGCCATCTTGTGCATGTGTCGCGACTCCTCTAGGAAGTTTATCGAAGGATTTGCTCGATCTGTAAGGGTGACTTCCGCTTCTCAAGCAAAAACCCTAGCTTTCTTGGAAAACCGAAGGTTTTCCTTGCACGATCTAAACAGAGTATTCTTGGGCTCAAATCGCTTGGCTTGGGATGAGCATGTACTTACCAAAGAGTGCCAAAAATTGCTTATTAGGTACCCGGATCTCCAAATAGCCCGTTGCTCAAGAGAGACTGAATAGAGTAGCGAATTAGAATGTTCAAATTTGAAAAATCGTTTCCTGCAATTGGGTCTCCGGCCCCTCTCAAGCCCTTTTGGATTTATTACGTTATGAAGCCCACTTACCAAACTTCCATGTTATTTCTTAAGAAAATGAAGGGAACTTTCATCGGAACGAAAAAACAAAGAGAACCTATATGCAACTAGACCTATCAAAATGGATCGTAAATCCATTTATTGACCCATATATAACGGGCTGAGTTATTATATGGGTTAGTTATATTAAGTAAATGGATCATAAATAGGTTTAAACATAATATGAATGTTAAGTGAGTCATAAATTGGTCGAAATGGGTTTACAATTTACTTAGATCAAACTCACATTTATGACTCTCTCTTCATTCTCTCTCGGTCTTACTCGTTCTCGCGCTCACTCACTCCGCACTCTCACTTCAGTTTGGATATGGGTTTTCCTATGTTGGATTTAACATGGAAGTATTTAAGAAATATCGGCCGGATCTAGTATGGGTTGAGTCACATATGAGTAAATAGATTTGCATGAATAAATGGATTAATGGGTCGATTTAGGTCAGCTTCAGATCCGATTTTTCCTATGGAGTGTATGCAATAACGCATTACCAACGAAGGAAACCTGTACAGAAGGAAAATAGTACCTAACCCGCTCTGCCCAATATGCCAAGTGCCCCATAAACGCTCAAACATCTCCTTGTCCTGTGCGAGTGGACAAAGCAAGTCTAGTTAGACCCACGGTTAAATCTAGCCACTTACCCGGAACATATCTCCAGAATTGACAAGTGGATATCAGAGAACATCGCTCACCGAGATGGCTAGTCATCAAGAGCCATCATCGCTAGCACCTTATGGCAAATTTGGAAGGAACGAAACGCATGGGTGTTCCACAACAGCAAACCGAGATCCAGGCAAATCGTGGAGGAAGCAATCGGCTCACTAAATCTCTATGAAAGATGGAACCCCAGCAAAGCGAAGCTCAAAGGATGCGAAGACTCACCCGATTACTGGACGCCGCCGCCGGTGGGTTGCTTGAAATTGAATGTCGACGGGTCTTGGTGTAGCGAATCGAGGGTCGGTGCCGTCGCCGAAGTGTGTAGAGACTCCCAGGGGCTGCTTATCGGTGGTTTTGCCAAGAAATTCCATGCTCCGTCGACCCTCATCGTGGAAACCCTTGTGGGGTGGGAAGGAGTGACGTTCGTGGAAGAGAAGCTCATGTGCAACAGGAGAAGTGAACAGAACTCCCCAAGTACACGAGCACAGGTGCTGCTCGTATCCGAAAATTTGGCCACAGTGAAGGCAGTGATGGGCCGGACTGAAATTTCCTGGGCTGCTCGGTCTGTGATGTTGGAATGCAGAACACTTATGGGCCAAATGGATGGTGTATCCATTGCTTATTGCTCCCGAGATGCAAACCGGACCGCATGATTGGGTGGCGAAGGCCCACTGGATCTCTCGGCCCGGATTGGTTGACTAAACCCCCCTCACTCTCTTTGGTCTTTATCATGTTATGTTTTTGGAAACTCTCATGCTATATTTCCTGCCAAGTAATGAACGAAATGTTTTTTCGACCAAAAAAAATTATGACCCAACACAAACTCGACCCAATTTGACCCACCCTTTTGACAAATCTAATCGCAACATGTTGACTTGTTGCATGAATTGGATTCTAAAGGGGCATTTAAATCAATTTTAAATTATCGCCCATAAGTTAAAAGACAAAATTAAACGACATTTTGTGGTCCACATCGGAACAAGTTATGGAACGTGAACGTGATGTCATTGACTTGCGGTTTTCGAAGGTTGGTGAACGACGGAAGACGAGCCCCATCAATGGAGGATGTGGATAAATGCGAATATGGTGGGTGAGTGGCGTGGGACGAGTCCAGCGCGTGATGGTTTGGCTTCGGTTCTGGTCTCACGGGAATCCAGCCACCCCCCTCCCCTTGCCTCACGCGTTCCTCCCTCTCTCCCCCCCGTATACATGTCTTATCTCGAAGATGGGACGAAAGCGAGGGCTATGTGCCACGGGATGAAGATTTGCGGTTTGATTTCTCAATTCACTTTGGAACTAGGGGTCGTGTTGAACTAGAATCTTTAGCGACAATCTTTAAGTGGGTCTGTCCTCTTTACGGTTGTCGTGGCGGATCGGAAAAAGCGCAGCTCCTAAAAGGTCCCGCAGGTAGTGTGACGCCAAGACCCGGTTCAGTTGTTAGCAATTTGATCGTTTAATCGGGGCACTTCCATTGAGGTACCGGGACAATCTTGAATTACCCGAGCGCGTGCCCGCACTCCAAATCTTAAATACAAAAAAAAGTACTTAAATCTCGACCACCACTACAACCGTCGATTAATCAACCACTACCCTCACTCCGATAGCCGAAATTGACCAACCAGCAGGTTCTCTCCACATATCTGAAAGGCTCGAAAGGCATATGGGCGAGCTCGATAACGTTTCGACCAACTTTGGCCCGAGCTTATCTGGGCCCTAACATTTTTATGTAAATTTTTTGTCGTGAGCGAATTTGAGCTGTATAGTATGCTCAATCTATGAGTCCAACCAGTCCTTGCCCAAGATCACATCTACCAATGATGACTCTAGCTTCTCCAACTCTGTTGCCGCGGCGGCGGCGGCGACATCTTTCTCATTAACTATTAAGTGGCCGAGCTAATATGTATCCATTGAAAGGGATAACCTATTAAGCCAATATAGGGAGATAATATCACCACCTAAATAAAGAGGGTCTATTCGACCAAAAAAATAAAAATAAAGAGGGTCTCTTCGACCAAATATAAAGAGGGTCTCGATCCTTGCAAGGTTTGGCTTTCGAGAATCCTCCCCTCTAAAGAAAACATAGTTACGGGTGGCCCACATTACTGACGACCCCACGTTCCCGAATTTGGTCAACATTACATCAGTGTTCACGCAATAAACAAATTGTTTTCTGTAGAACTCACGCAAAAGGCAAAGTATGTCGTATCTCTTCTCAGTTAATGCGTTCTGCATTCAATTCATATTATTGTCCAAGTTGATGATGGGTCGACTACCTTGACATTGACTTGGGATTGGCACGTTCAAAACGGAGGAACCTTTCCCATTTAGAGGGAAGGATTCTTCGAGTATTCAATAGGTATTTATGTATAAATATATAAATATCTATATATACATATGTATGAGGGAGAAGATCGGCTAGGGCCTTGAGTTTTTTCCTTAAGTCATAATTTTTTAAAGGAAGAAGGTGTCCACCATTGCATTGGATCACTTGCTGAAGATTTAACCTACGCATCTCACCCAGAAACAAACTGATCAAGATTTCTTAAGACTGACGATAGATTAGGGAGTTGAACCTGTGATATTCTGCATGCAAATCAAATCCTAGACCGCTTGATCAACCTTCTCGATGGTTTTCCCAAGTCATAGTTATTAGTTTATGTGTTGGCCAAAACAAAAATCCTCAGTAGTTAATATCAACTAAGGCAAGAAAAAATTAGTTAAATTTACTCTTACTTGTTTCAAATGTACGAGTGTGTATCGAGCCCAAAAAGAATATATCACACTTTGTATTTGGTAAAAAACTTTCAAATTATTCAAATCTACTTACTTAAAACGATACATACGCCATGTGTCTTAAGATTACTCCATGAAAAGGGTAGTTGGACGCATATCTGTTCATTAGGATTAATTTCATTAGAATATATATGTTTGCTTTTATTTCATTGTCTGTGAATTTAGATAATATTACAATATTTAAATCATATGATTCAATGGTTTCAGGCAACAAATATGTAAAAAATCAAAATAAAGAAGTCATTGAGAGTCACTTAAAAAAGAAGTCGTTGGTTAATTCGCGAGTAGAAGAATTAGGTGGTGGATTAAAATTGCAGACGATAACTTAATGGAACCTTTAACCTATTTGATAACTTTTTCTTTGAAAAGAGTGAAAAGTGAGAGAAAAGAGGGTTTTACCATAACTATATAATGGATGATTAAAATTCATAACTGAGATGTCTATTTTTCCTCCATAAAATTCTACATTATTCTTTTTATCTAGTATTTTTTATGGGTTGGAATCTAGGAATTATTTTGATAACCATAAAGTTGACCAACTATATTCAATTTTGTTAGAATATTGAAATATTAACAACATCCTCATCTAATAATATGAGCAAAATATTCTGAGTTAAAATCTTTCTAAATCCATTATTTGTCTCTCTTATTATATATTTCCACGCTATATCTTAGGCTAAAGTCTAGCCTATGCATGAGGGTGAGTGTGAAAACAGTCGGTCGTGGTCTCACATATTACAAATTTGTCCAAACACATCGGTTGAATCTTAAAGGTTTTATTTGACCAAATTTTTTTTTAAAGGTTTTATAACTTTCAAATGGTGCCATTAATCTGAGACTCAATGTCATTTTATGCCTATGTTTGTTTCGCGGAAATTTTTTTCCTAATCAACGAAAAATCTATGGTTAAATTCAAGAAAATGATTTTCTCCGTAAAAAATTAGAAATCATTTTTCAAAATATGACTACACATTGACACATAAACTAGAGATTTTGCACTTAGGCATGGGAACCTTGATGCCCGTTCCCAAGTCTAGAGGTTGGGACCGAGCCCGAGTCCATCAAGGCTAAGCCCGGGGCCAAAGAGGTCACACCCGAAACTCCGGTGCCCGTGCTTGGTTCCCCAATGCTCGAGCCAGGGTACATAGAGGTCAAGCTTTGGGACACCGGTATCCATGATCACAAAGGCTGACCCTGAGACCCTAGTGCCCATGCCCAGCACCCTGACGCTCAGGCCCCAATTCATGGAGGTCGGGCCTGAGACCTTAGTGCTCGTGCTTTCACTCCTCCAAGTCTGGGCTCGAGACCCTGGTGCCGGTGCCTAGGTCCCTGACACTCAAGCTTGGGTCTTCGGCGACTGATCCCTAGTCCATCGAGGCCGAACCCTAGACCCTGGTGTCGTGGCCACAGTCCACAAAGGTCAAGCTCGAGACATCAGTGCTAGTGCTCTGATCCCTAATGCTTAGATCTAGGTCTATAGAGGCTGAGGCCAAGACTTTGGTACCTTTGCCCGGCTCTCCGGCACCCACACCCAAGTCCATGGAGGAGAGCCTAGGTCCAAAGAGGCCGAGCCCACGACCCTAATGCCCTTGGCCAGGTCCTCAACATCCGAGTGCGGGTCCATCTGAGCTTGAGAACATGATGTCCATGCCTAGATACATGCTGCCCAAACACAGGTCCATCGAGGCAGGTCCTAGGCTCGACCTTCATGAACCTAGGCATTAGGGACTTTTGGCCTAGCCTTTGTGGACCCAGGCCCAACCTCCAAGAACTGAGGCCTGGGCATCGAGATCTCGAGCCCGGCCTCTATGGACCCGAGCCCGGCCTCGATAGACCCTGGTGTCGTGGCCACAGTCCACAAAGGTCAAGCTCGAGACATCAGTGCTAGTGCTCTGATCCCTAATGCTTAGATCTAGGTCTATAGAGGCTGAGGCCAAGACTTTGGTACCTTTGCCCGGCTCTCCGGCACCCACACCCAAGTCCATGGAGGAGAGCCTAGGTCCAAAGAGGCCGAGCCCACGACCCTAATGCCCTTGACCAGATCCTCAACATCCGAGTGCGGGTCCATCTAAGCTTGAGAACATGATGTCCATGCCTAGATACATGCTGCCCAAACACAGGTCCATCGAGGCAGGTCCTAGGCTCGACCTTCATGAACCTAGGCATTAGGGACTTTTGGCCTAGCCTTTGTGGACCCAGGCCCAACCTCCAAGAACTGAGGCTTGGGCATCGAGATCTCGAGCCCGGCCTCTATGGACCCGAGCCCGGCCTCGATGGACCCAAGCGAATGCCCAAGAGTGTCAAGGACCCACGCACCGGGGTTATAGAGGCCAGGCTTGGCACCACGGTACCCGTGCCCAAGTCATTAGCATCGAACAGTGAATGTCTATTTAATAAAATAAAAGCAAGTTTTCCTTTTCAAAAGACAAAAAATAATTTCCAATTCATTTTCAGATTTGAACAAAACATCGGAAAATATTATCATTTCCTGAAAAATAACTTTTTAGAAAATATATTTCAAAAATGTCAAACTTTTCGTGAAGTAAGCCTATGTAAGCAATTAATGGTGCATTATGTTAACATGGCCCTCAACATTATGCTTGTTGTCTGTGCACTATTTTAACATTGATGGCGAAAGGACGTACTTAAAATCGCTCTGCGTGCCAAGGCATGCAAAATTT